TTTTTTTTTTTTTTTTTTTTTTGTTCTCGCCCGCATTTCTCCATGCGGTTATACTGCATGTTAGTAATTAAAGTTACGCAACATATAGTGTACATAATATAAATATTGCCATAGGCATTTAACTATAATTGCATAAATAAAATGTACATAACTTTTTAGCGATTCCTTACGTTTTTTTTTTCTGTTTTGATACATGCATTTTTAAACTTTTTTTTTTTTTTTCCTTAATTTTTTTTCAATGACTGAGAGGGAACTACCATTTTTTTTTTTTTTTTTTTTTTTTTTTACATTTTTTTTTTATATAGTTACATTTTCACCTGCGCGTATCTACATATATACATTTACTCAATCCTTACTTGCTTAGATGGCCATATGTATATAACCTGCATAATACATATTTTCCGAGCCCACTTCGGCCAGGGTCTCAACTCTACATAATGAAGCGGCTCTTGGCTTAGTTTGGCTTAGCCTTCTAAAGAGTCACCTCGGCAGCTTTTTTGTACAGCACGTTTTATGTGCAGTGCAGGAGCGTTGCTCGTGCATGCGTGATATATGGTTATTGAGAGAGCGACAGTTGGGGCACCAAGCTGTTGAACTACCAAGGGGTTGAGCTACTAAGCAGTTAAGCTCCTCCGTACTGGGGTACCCCCCCACACTTAACATACACCACCCACCCAGCGATCGCTGACCACACCGGGGCACCAACTGGTGCACGGATCTTCACATTCACCCCCCACTTTTCGCCCACCTCCACTACCAAATATGCGTCTGAATACCCTCTTTTACGCGTTTTCTTCTTTAATGGTATTCCATTTAAACGTCTTTTACAAGGGAACAAGGGTTAACTACGTTTCTGCATACATCAGTTCCATACACAAGTACACCAATTCCGGCAACAGCAGCAGCAACGTAGGCGACCATAGAGGCAACAACAGAGACCAGAACAACCCTAATAACGTAGATAATCACAAAATAAACGCCAACGGAGCATCGAACAGGACAATTGCCTCATACTTCAAGAAAAAGTTCCCTCAGATTTACCAGCAGAGCGGCGTCAGCTTCTCCACTGCTGCGGGAAACTCCACACAGGAAAACGGGAGGAATAGTCAAGAAGCCATTACACAACTAGAGCAACTGAGAAAAGAGGCCTCTCAGCAATCACAACAAAGTAACGATCAAGGAGAAGATAGAAACACCATGGCAGTCCCCATTGAACAGAGACTTTCAAATATAAAGAAAGTAATGCAAGAAAAAAACATCGATGTGTACATCCTAATAAACAGCGACGAACACAACTCAGAAATAATAAATGACAAGGACAAGAAAATATTATTTTTGAGCAACTACAGTGGAGCTGATGGTATCTTAATACTCACCAAGGACAAGCAAATTTTGTACGTGAATGCATTGTACGAATTACAAGCGCAAAAAGAATTAAACCACGACATTTTCACCCTGCGAGTTAGCAGAATTACCAACCGAGATGAAATATACGAAACAATTGCGTGTTTGGAATTTAACAATATTGCAGTGGATGGAAAAAACACTAGTGTCGCTTTCTACGAAAAGCTAAAGAGTAAAATAGAGTCCACTTATCCCGACAAAGTCGTGCAAGAAAAAATGATTTACGAAAAAAATATGAACCAAATTGAAAAGAATGGAAATATAAACTTCCTCATTTTAGAAAAATCCCTAGTAGACGTACCAAACAATCAAGTTAATAACAAACAGGTGTTCATACATGACAGAGTATATAACGGTGCATGTTCAGGAGAAAAATTAGAAAAATTAAGACAAGTATTTGCCTTCGATAAAAAAAATGTGGATAAATTATTACTCTCAGAGTTAGACGAAATTGCTTATATTTTAAACCTTCGTGGATTTGATTACACTTTTTCTCCTCTGTTCTATGCCTACCTCTACTTCGAGTATAATAGAGAAACTGAAGAATTTGAAAAAATGATTTTATTCACTAAATCTAAAAACCTCTCCCCGAGTTCCATCAGACACCTCAACACAGTTAAGGTCACTGTCCAGGAGTACGAAACTGTGGTCGAATACTTAAGGGACAACGTCGCTTCCAAATCCATGTCACTGACCAACGCAGGCAAGCAACCAAGCGCAGTAAATACACTCCCCTCCAAAGAAGTCACCCTAAAAGAATCCGATTCGCAGAAAAAATACGATATTTCTCTCAGCCCATATATCAACCTAATGATCTACATGCTTTTTAAAAAGGACAACATATTGCTCGAAAAATCTCCCGTACTTCACATGAAAGCAGTTAAAAGGGACGTCGAAATAGATAACATGATAGAGGCACATGTGCTTGATGGATTGGCACTTTTACAATTCTTCCACTGGTGTGAAGAGAAGAGAAAAACCAAAGAGCTATTTAACGAAACGGAAATGTCTTTAAAAAATAAAGTAGATTACTTCAGATCCACCAAACCAAACTTTATCTTCCCCTCCTTTGCAACCATCTCGGCCAGCGGATCAAATGCTGCAGTCATTCACTACGAAGTTACTGAATCTACAAATTCAAAAATCACGCCAAGCATTTTTCTCCTTGATTCTGGAGGACAATACTTACACGGAACCACAGATGTAACTAGAACTACTCACTTTGGAGAACCCACAGCGGAAGAAAAGAGAATCTACACCTTAGTACTTAAAGGACACCTACATTTAAGAAAAGTTATTTTTGCCAGCTACACAAATTCTATGGCCCTAGATTTTATTGCACGTGAAAATTTATTCAAACACTTCCTCGATTATAATCACGGAACTGGACATGGAGTAGGATTATTCTTAAACGTTCATGAAGATGGATGCTCCATAGGACCAGCTGCTGGTACTCCACTGAAACCTTTTATGGTACTTTCGAACGAACCAGGATACTACCTCGCAAACAAATTTGGTGTTAGAATCGAAAACATGCAATACGTAATTAGCAAGAAGAAAACAGACGACGCAGAATTCTACAGCTTTGAAGATTTAACTCTCTATCCGTATGAAAAGAAATTACTCGATTATTCTATACTCACCACTGAAGAAATTAAAGACATTAATGAATACCATGACAAAATTAGAAAAACTCTCCTCCCCAGACTGAAGAAGAATCCATCCGAATACGACGAGGGAGTAGTCAAGTACCTCATGGATATCACCGACCCGATTTCGATAAACTAAGTGGAAGCGCCAGGAGCGAGAGATAGAGCGGAATCTTCGTCAGGACAGGAAAAATTTCGGAATCATTTTCAGAACCGTTTTGTGCAAACGTCTGTGTACCTCAAGGTTCAGATTTACTCCTTTTTTTTTCATCCCGTCCTAATTTTTTTTTTTTTTTTTTTCTTTAACTCACACAAGTGCGATGTATAATTTTTTTTTTTTTATGTACGGTAAAAGTGTGAGCATATTTTTAAGGAGCATCCTTGGCCAACGGGCACTGCGCACAAAAAAAAAAAAAAGAAACATATGCGCAATTACAAATGAACTGACATACGCAAGTGCCTTTGAAATATGCATTCACCTTTGAAATGTAAGTTATGGAATTTTTTTTTTTTTTTTTTTTCTTTTTTTTTATTTTATTACACCTGTGTGCATCATAGACTTGTTGATTCTTTTCTTGCACACAAAATCATACTTAACTAAAACGTAAAAACAAATGTGGGTTTCGTTCCCACTGTTGAAATATAAATGTATGAATATAAAATGGGTGCGAAGTAGGCCAATGGGATGTGGAGTTCTCCCACTGTGCTACACACCAGGTGATGTAAATGAAACATAACCATTTGGAGCCATTATGGACGCGAAAAAATGAGACCCTAAGTCGCCATTTTTTTTTTACGCTTAAACATATGTTTCGGCGAGAGAGTCTTTCATGTCTACAACAAATGTATTCGTTCAAGCTGAGGGAGGTTTTATTTTATTTTTCTTTAAAAAGGAGGTAGAGCTGCTTTAGACACTCAACATGTGATCACATTTGGCATTTTTTTTTGTTTCTTCCCCCTTCCCACCCTTTTAGTATAACACAGCAAAATGGTGTCATAATGTGGGTTATACAAATCCACAGTTATGTAGACCTGCGCAGGAATATTTTCTCGTTATTTTTATTTCTCTCCCACTGCATGTAAACATAAGGCATTGATCAAATTTCACGAAGGGTTGTAATACGATTTTTCTTTTTTCATTTTCCTTCTTAACTCCATTTGACCCTTTCGACGCATACGATTTCATGCGACTTCGTACCATTTGGCGTCATGTAAAAGGTAATGCCACGTCAAGTGATGATATGTAATGCTGCCATTTTGTTGCGATTATTTTTTTTTTTTTTTTCCCTTCGCACAAACGCGGATTGAAATGCATACTTTTAATTTAGTGCGCATATTTTTCCGCATGGCATTTTTAATTTAATGACACTTTATTTACAAATAAATGCCATGCTGTCGTTACAAAAAGCTAGCTTTTGTTCAAATTTGACGTAATTTTAGTATTTGTAATTTGACTCTCTTCAGGTTTTTCATTCTCTTTCTGCTGCCCAGGAAAAGGAAAAGTTACAATAAATGTTTTTTTTCTTTTGTCCCAATTTTTTTTTCCTTTTTTTTCAACATCGGGGATAGTCTTTTTTTTTTTTTTTTTTTTTTTTTTTTTTTTGGTGAATTAATTGCCCTTTATTTTTTGCCAGCAGTTCAATCGCTTATATTACAGGTTACAAGAAAAAAAAACTGAACAATTTTAAATTTTACGAAAATGTTATTTTTAAATTGTGAATTAAGGCTGCTTAACCATTTTTTTCTTTTTTTTTAAGAGATCTCCCAGCATTTATATTTCACTACATCATTACATAATTAACCACATGCATGGGGGAATGAAGGAGTAACTGTACTGCGCATTAGCTAAACGGGAAAAAAAAAAAAAAAAACTTTTTCCCCCTTTGCGAGATAATCAACATTTATCTCCATCTCAATTGCCATAAAATCCATTTATGATGGCTACTTTCCTTTCGCTGCTTTGCAAAGGAAAGGGGGCAGCCTTGTCGGCAGCGGGAAGAGCACCCCTGTGCTTACCGCGCGTAAATGGAAACATCGTGAACAATGGCTATTACCCATGTGCGGCCCGAAGCTACAGTGATAATGTGAAGGACCATTTTAATAAACCCAGGAATGTTGGCTCGTTTGATAAGAATGAAAAAAACATTGGGACATCCATTGTAGGTAAAGCGTCCTGTGGTGATGTCATAAAATTGCAATTGAAAATCGAAGACAATGTGATTAAAGACGCGCGATTTATGGCCTTTGGATGTGGCTCCGCAATTGCTAGTAGCTCTTACGCCACTGAATTGATCAAGGGGAAGACCATAGACGAAGCCCTCAAAATTAAAAACGACGACATTGCTTCCCACTTGAGTTTACCTCCAGTCAAAATACACTGCAGTTTATTAGCGGAAGACGCGATCAAGCACGCCATAAAAAATTACAGAGAAAAAGTGATAAATTGATTAACCGCTGAATGGTGTACTGAACATATGTAACCCGAGGAAGGGGCCAACACAGAGCTTTTGTTTTCTTATGATATGTGAGGGTAGACAGCACCTGGATGCTTTCATTTGTAATATGGGGCGCTCATGGAGGTTTTGTTCTTTTTCATTTTGGAAACCCCTTTTTCAATCCATTCGTGAAGCAGATTTTATGTTCAACGCAGAAGACATATCACAACATATAACACCCAGCGAGAGGTGCGCAACACCAACAATTGACATTTTTAAACACGACATGTAATGTCCACAAACCCAACGGAAGCAAGAATGCCTTGGAGTATTTTGATGCATAATCAGGATGTGTATCAACTGTGTGCACATTACAACTGAATGCTGTAATTGTTTTTTCTTCTTCGTCCCTTCGTTTTCTTTTTATTGCGGTGCATGACGACACCATGAAGGAATTCGTTTAGCCAATTTGCGAACACTCGCAGAATTGTACATTCCACCTCCCCCCCGCCTCTAGCTCTTTCGACGCTGTTTTTCTTTTCGAAAGTTCAGCTAGGGGACCATTTGTAAACGCTTTTTGTTTTTTTTTCTTTTTTCTGTACCATATTGAGGTTGCCTATTTTGGACGTATCCACTCACGTATGCAGGTGTGCGTATGCATGTCCATGTGGCAGCTATTCACCCCTTTTTTGCTCTTTCGTGCTCTTTCAACTTTTTTAATTATTTCTATAATCGCAATTTGGTAAAACAAGTTTGTAAACAAATTTAATTTTCCTTTTTCAAATGAATTCGGCACAAGGGCAAAGTTGCCGCCATGTGCCATTTGCGCATGTAGACTTTTTTGTTATGCGCATATATATGGTTCACGTGGCAGGATGACGAATGCAATAGACGGGTCATCCCAAATGCTCAAAAAAAAAAAAAAAATAAATAAATAATGACGCAATTTATACGCTTAAAAAAACAAACCGTTACCGCTTTGTTACGAAATGGTTGTAGTTTGCTTAACTCGCATGAGCGAGTAACCATATTGGACGCAGCCTTATTCAGCAAGGATGGCCAGATTTGTAAAACACATTTCGCGGGAAATGTTACCGATTGGTTATGGGTACATTCTAGATTAGTGCAGATAAATTACCACACTTTTTTCTGCTGAGCCAATCCTTTTATACACGTCTTCTCTTCCTTGGCTTGGAGGCATTTAATCCACACTTGGGCAATCTAGGCTCATGAATAATTTGTGTAATGTTTAAATTGTTGGCATACATAGCTTGCAACACAGTCTCTACTCTCATGATTCTTCTAAATTTTATGTCGATACTGAATATTCCAAGCCTCCTACATTTTTTGGCAATATTTTCCCCTATTCTGTAGGCGCACCTTTCACTTTGTTGCAGTGTCTTTGTAAAGCCAACGTTTCCTGCAAAGGATCCAAACACTGTTTTGTAATTCTTACTTTTGTTAACAACCTGAACATGCACATTATTTTTAGATGTGGTAATTACAGCACGAAATGAATCCGTTGGTTCTATAATGAGATTATTTTTGTCCCTGTCGATGTTGTGAAATTCTTCTCTCTCTCCAAATAATTTATATCGTCTTTTATGGCCTTGGCAATTTTTAAGAGTCTCTCTTGTAATGTTCTTTTTTTTTTTATCCGGTTTTTTTACAACTTCTTTCAGATTCGTTATGGCCTTCACAGCGTCTTCTGATAGTGTTGTGTAACTTTTTCTTGGGGGACTCGTCCCGTTTATGAAACTCCCCTTGCACAAAAGTGTACACCTACTTGTGTTGTTACAGCATGTGGGGATCAGCTTCTCGTACGCTCTTAAAAAGGCTCCTTTGCGTATGGCAGAGATAACTCTAATCATTATTAAGTGAATTTATTTGTGTACATAACGCGTCGACGTGTGTGTGTGGGCGGGTGGGGAAGCACATGGAACGGTCTTCCCCTTTGTTCCTTTATCATCTAGCGGCTGCTCAGTGTCATCATGCACGTAAGTGGTTATATGCTTCGCTTTTGCCTTCACCCTATGGCTCTATGTTTTTTCCAAATAGGTTCGCCGTTACCATCACTGTATGTTTTTATTTCTTTTTTTTTCTAAACAGGTTAGCCAATTTCCACACGATGCACCTATCTGTTCAAGTCAATCGGCACTCCTCTATAAATTAAATGCGATGCGAAGCTTTTTCCCCCTGGTGGTGCCTAACCACTAGCGCGTGCTAAGTGCATACATTCGTGCGTGGTTGTTTACGCATAAGTTATTATAAAAAGTGCAGCCGCAAATTTTTCGTGCAATCTAGAGGAAGGGTTGATGGCCGCTGCGCCTGTCGGCAATCCAGAGGAGGAGAGTAGCTTCGTGTTTGTTCCTTCCACATGGAGATGTGCAATTAGCACGCTTACGATTTCCACGCAGGGCATCTCTTACTTTATCTTGTGCTACAAATACACAGTGGCCTCACTACATAGGATAACCTGTGCATATAACAGTGCGTTTACTTATGTTCCCCCAGCAAGGACGCGAAAAAAAAAAAAAAAAAAAAAAAAAGTGCACCCAGGAGAAAAATTTTGCGTGGCCAATTATAGGTAGCACATGGGCGCCGTCATATATGCTGTCAAGCGCCCAGGGGAAGAAAAAAAAAGCAATGGTCATGTATACATCCTGCTGCGTGGCTCATTTTTATCGCCTTTTCTACATGGTTA